CAGCACATTGAAAATGGTCACTTGCAACCGTAATAGGTTGAACATCAATATGAATAGTTCTTTTAATATTACACAAATAAAAAACGATATCACATAACGTCCGAAACTACTTTATGCAAGTAGATACATAGATATAGAAATCTCTGGTGAGCAAATACTTTTAAAATCGTTGATCCATTCATCAAACCCTAATTCATCGACCACTATCGCCATCCACAAATGTATATCATATCAAAGTCCATCATCTACATTTCCCTTCTATATTCTATCTGGTAATATTATACCATGGGACTTCCTCACACTGTTTAAGAAAAATCAAAGAGCAGAACTGAAAACTGATTTCCTTAAGTTTTCAGTCTTAATGCTGTCATTCTGTGTACAAGTGCATATGCACATGTACATTCATACGAACACACAGGCACACACATACACACAGAGTATGTATGATAGATACGTGTACAATATTTGTTGACGTGTTGATACAGAAGTTCACAATTACAGTAAACTATGGTCATTTCGACTAATCTTGAGAGAACCGGCTCGAAAATATCGAATAACAAACAATTAGAGGATTCTTTGTGATCTCAATTGAATTACCCTGAATATGGTATTTTATATGATATTATACAACTAGATTACTTAGTCTAAAGGTAAGAACTATATACAATACGTCTCGAACTTTTTTTTTTTTTTTAAGTCAGTCGAAAATGAAAACACATTGAACAAAAACGAATATCCGTTATTGTTCCACTATTTAAGTAAAATCTACGTAATGTAAATAAGTATTATGGCACAAACTTGGAACTATTTTCGATGAAATTCGAATAATATTAATCTAAATTTAAAAAAAGAAAATATGTAACTTTGACTGTGAAATCCTTGTACATATGTGTGATATACATCTAATATCGAATTACTGAATCTCACTAAACATATTGATTCGTAACTTATCGGAAATCACAATAATTTCTTGACTATATTACAAGCAAGGATAGTCAATCAGTTATAAAAAAAAATACTGATATAAATCAGTTGTCAAATTTTTAAAATTAACGTTAAAAAGAATTAAATTTCAATTCTGAAGATCGAAAATTTTTAATCCTTGCCAGTGATGAGTCTTTACAATGATTAAATCCTATACTGTGAATAGATATCAATATCTGTCTGCCGCAAATAAACCTGTTTGGATAAAAAGCAGTATTTATGTAAAATTTTTTGTAATTTATAAAAGAGAAATTAAGTCACGTAATTAATATAAGATGGACACAATAAATTTACGAAGATTTAACGTATGCACTGATTTGAATCACATTAGGATTCAATTGCATATGAATATTCAAAAAAATAATCAAAAAAAAAGAATTTGAATAACAATTTTCTTTTAATTTAAACGTATACGCTTAATGACAATCTTTTAGTATTATATAATCAAAATCTATCTTAAATGTTATTAATATGAAAAAATAAAAAGCTTTAAGGCTTTCTTCTTCTTCGCTACACTTTTATATCATAATAATTATTGTATTAATTATTTATAACAATAAACAAATATTTACTACTCAGTATACATTAGTCAACGGATAAAATTGAAGAAATATTAAAGTAGAAACTTTTTATACAATAATAATAGAATAAACACGTGTCTCTTATACATAGTACGAAGATATAACATCAATATAAGAATGAAACGTTGTAAATACTGCCGATGACTCCTGCATATTTTAAACATATTTAATCTTTTTAATATTACTTATTACAAATATTTCAGAATTCAAAATTATGAGTAAAATGTTATACTAAAGTTGCATAAAACTTCGATCTGGATAGAATATTTAAAAAATTGAAATATTTTAAAATTAATACACAAGAAAACTAAGATCGAAAAAATCTACATAAAATTAATTAAGATATCTCTTTGAAAATTTGCTTATTATTTTTCAGCAAGTAAGTACGATTACAGGTAGTTTACTTTGGACTTTAAAGAATACACATCATATGTGTTTTAATAATTTACAATACAACTTTCATAATTTATTCAATTAAGCAACAACATTCTTAATTATTTTCAATCATTTCATGTTTGAATATTTTACGCGTATTGAATATCTATCGTTTATTGGTGTCTCGAGTATGTCTCATTATATAATGTCTCGAAATTATAGTTCATACGTATCTAAATTATATATACAAACTTACATATTTCAAGTGCTATGAAAGGGTTGTAAAATATAACTGAATTAGAGAAATGACTGTAACTTCTTTGTTTTAACAAACTGTTAAGCACACATATATAATAATTTATTATTATTTAATATTATATCATATTCTGTGCCAATCTTAATTCACAAAAATGAACCAAATTGACTTGACTAGATTAAAAAAAAAAAATGAAAAAAATTCCACTTCCTCTGTTCAGAAAAGATTCGACTTATATCGAATCTATAATAAATATTTAATTCAATTTTCTGCTACTCATTCTGCTACACTTTTTAGTGGCGAAAAAACATCAAAAAATAAAATCTTGTTTAGAACTTATGATTTAAAGAAATCACAAATGTATTCTAAAAACAATTATAGAAATATGACATATAATTATAAGAAAAAGTGACTTAATTTATGTAAATATTTTCACATTAAAAAGTTACTTCATTGGTAATTTCACCTATACATTTTTTTATTATTTAATAATATTACTTTGCATTATTTTTTCAGCAAATAACAATTCTATAAATATTTATTATACATTGAAAAGATGTCAAAAGCAATTTAAAATAAAAAGTAATTTTTGTAATATTTAAAATAAAATCTTTAAACATATAAGTATGTTTTTAAATAAACTTTTCACAAAAATAATAAAATTTGTATGCTGCTTTTTTGAAATATAAAAATTTTTTAATGTTTATAATAAATTTTAAAATTTTAAAAACTTTAAAAAACAATTTTACTTACATCATAAAAATTGGAAGAAATACTTACATTTGTATAATTCAATCTCTATAACTGACTTCTCTAAGATTTTAAAAATTCCTATTGACTGTAAAGCATTTATGGTTTTCTCCTTATAAGTTTATTAAATTATCTATCACTCTGTAAAATTATCTTTTTATATAAGTTATTATATCACTAAAAAGGAACTATTAACTACGCTAAACAAATTACTGTTTTAATTATAATTTTAAACAATTTAGAAATTGAATAAGTACCTGAAAGATAAGAACGTATTTAAGTATTTACAATATTTTAAACACTGGCATTTGTAATTCTTACAACTCCTTATACTTAATAACACCCAATTCAGAAATTCTTACCATTCTGTACAATTATCCTAATTATAAATACGTATGTTTACAAATTTACGAAGTGTTAAGCAATTTTATCATATAAGAGCTTCATATTATTAAAGCCCCCTTATTGTAAATAGTCGTAATAAGAAAAAAAATGAAATACTTTGTAATATCCTTTTGTATAATTATTCTTACCTATCAAATTGTTTATAACTCTTACCAACATATTGTTTTTTTATGATATTGCAGGTCAACAAATTTATTAATAATCATAATGTATCCATATTTTTAAATTTTTTCCTTTTTTGCTTAAAAGTTTATATGCATTGTACTTGTCATACTTGTTCAGCAATGTTATGACGAAAATGTTCTGGGTCTACGTAAGAAAAATGTCGCAAAAGAAGGTCAAGATTCGTATATTAATCTCTGATAATGTGGAAATATCTCCCATGTTGGAAGATGTAAACCAAATTCTAAGGCTACCAAAACAGCAAATTCAGATGTAATTAAATCTTTGCGGTTTAGACGAAATACACTTTCAATTCTCTGTAAATTGCGTAAAATCAAAATTTAATCCAAAATTATTCTACATTAATTCATATAATAATATAATATATTAATATAAAATGTTTACATATGAAATAAATACCTCTATTAATGACTTAAGAACATCACCCTTAACATCGTTCAATTTTGCTGCAAGAAGCAAGCATGCACCAGCACATAATTTCCGCGTTTGTTTTGTAACAACATTCCGAAGAATAAGTTTTTCAAAGTATACATAAGCCATTGCTACTGTCAAGAGATCAATACCATATTCCATCTTTGCTATTTTTCTCATTTCTCGTTTTAAACTATATGCATATCATTGTTGATATATAATTAAATTATGAATAAAAAATATCACACATTTATAAATTACATCATATTTTTAGCACTAACCTTCTTAATTTGCTCAAAGTAAGTTGTATATGAGGAAATTTTTCCTTAAATTTGTCATTTAATTCTTTTTTTAAGTCAGATGGTCTTACATAATCAATAACTGATGCCTACATAAGATAGATAAGTAGTTATTAAAAAACGTTCATCATGCGTTATATTGTAAGTTTATAAAACTATATATAAAAACGTTCATCATGCGTTATATTGTAAGTTTATAAAACTATATATACCATATACGATGTAAATGTAAGCAGCGTTCTATGCTTCCCAGCTATGAGTTCTGGATCATCCAATAAATTAGGATTGTACTGTAATGATTGCTCATCCCAATCATAAGCTACAATTAAAAAGAATTTTATACACATTATTATCTTATTATTTCAAATAATTTATATATTATAAAAATATACCTTTAGAATCAGTATTAAAAGATAGTGGTGGAGATTCGGGTGTTAAATGTTGAGCACGATGCGTAGCCGTATCATATGATAAACACCTGGAAAAAATTATAAAGTATAGCATAGAAAAATAATAAACATGTGTAATTTGCTATAACTTTCAAATATTTTGCATAATATAATATACTAACTAAAATATACTATCTAAAAACAACTAATTATAATGTATGTATTACAAATGATTATATGTGTATGTTGTATATGTATAATGAAAATGTAAATTACGATATAGTTCAAGATGACATATGTACAACTATCTTATCTAAAATAATCATAATCATTAATCCTAAAATAAAAGTTTATATTTTAATAAAGGTATAATATTTACTCAAACCAGTTACTTTTTATTAATAGTAGCAATATAAACTCAATTACATTATATTCAAATATGAATTTGTTTCCTGTATATATAATAAGAATATTTTTTATTTTCAATCTAACCACAAAAATATGTATTGTAGTGCATGTGTAATATTGAAAAAAAATACATAATACATATAGTGAGTACACTAATAAAAAATGTCTAAAATAATTAATAATGTAAATTATAATCCACATTTGCAAATATACACAATTCTAATTTATTTGAATTTCTTTTTTAATGCAATATGATTTTATATTTTACCATTTGGAGTGATCCACATTCCATGTAATAGTTTTTGTCCTGCAAAATATGGTTGAAAGATTTCGTTATAAGACAAAAAAAAATAATGCAGTGCATATTCTGTGAGAATATATAAGTGAAATATGAAGGATGAATTAAAATATATGAAACAGGCAATATATAAAAATATTATGTAATATAAAAACTTTTCTGGATAAAATAATCTTACAACTAGTACTTACGAAATTGCAATAAAATATTAGACTAAAGTAAAAATATATTAAGTTTTACATAAAGTAAATACCTTGAAACTACAGGATGTTTGTTAGGAATAAGTTCTATCGCATCATTATCGCTAAAATGTAATTTTTTATCTCTTTGAAATTGTCTAGATGGAACAAGTAACTGTCCATAAGATATTTCCTAAAAAATTTATAAAATTAATTATTAAAAATATAAAATTAATAAATTCATATATTCATACATAGTGAATTTCTCGTTAATTAACAAAGGTAGCATTACTAATTATATCGTAAACAATATATTCCCAATTCAATGTTAGTTTCTGGTGATAAATCATATAAATTAACACAATATTACTGATACCTTAGAATTAACTACTGAAAGAATTACCAGTGTATTATTTAATTAAATACCTGGCCATCTTTAGCACGTTCTATTCCCAGTAAACCAAAGGGATCAATATTATCATTAATTGCTGACAATGGTCTCTGTGAAGAAATATTTTTTCTTCGGCTTGTATCTTTACGCAGTTCAGACCTATAAGAAAAAAAAAGAATTACAGTATTTATTATGTATTTTAAATACAATGTTATTCAATTTTTATTATGTTTATCTTACCAACTAGATCTTTGTCCTTTATTATATGGAAGAGCAGAAAATACTAGAAATGGCACACGTTTATTAGAAACCAAAACCAGTCTATCATCTCCAAATTTATAGCCATTTACAGGTTTTTGCATTAAACGCAATTCTCTTGTAACTTCTGGTATTATGCCACTATTTGCAGAACCAGATTGCACATTATTTGATACCTTTGATTTTGATTTTGAAGATTGTGCTTTGCGTAAAGAACCAATACTTTCATTGGAACTATTATATTGATGCTTTATATCTTCCGAAAGAGTTGATGTTTGATGAGTTATACGTTTTTTATATTGTAAAGAACCAACTCGTCTTTCAGGTAAAGAATATTCACTGCCAGTTGTGTTAGTACTAAGAAACAAAAATAAATATTTTATACTTTCTCTTTCTAATAATATATGAAAATTAAAATATAGATTAATTCTAAATATAGTTTAATATATTGTATAAATATTAATGTAATAAATATTAATTACAAAGTTATAATAATTTTAAATGGATAATTTTGACTTATTGGAGTTACATCACCCCAATATATAACTTATTTAATATTACTTTAGAAAATGAAACAAATATTGTCCTAAAAATATACTTATTTTATTCCTTATTATTTTTTATTATCTATAATATATATTTCTTATTTGTTTTATACAATAAATATTAATATAGAACACTTAATACTTGTATTAATATATATTACTAATATAAAACACATTACAGAATATTATCTTCAATAATTTTAAGAAATAATTATATAACAAAAAAACATTATTTTTATAAAAAATTGTACATTACATAAGTTCTAATACAATTTGTTATTTAATTTCCTCTTTAACTACATAAAATACATAAGCAATATAATTATAGATAAAATTTACAATAATTATAATTTTGCTAGGAATGAATAACCACATCAATTCATTATTGTACTTATATAAAACGATTTATTTTATTTTATAAGGGTATATAATAAAATCAAAAACTCGATTATTTATACACATGTAAAGTGATAAGATTTATATAGTAAGATTTATATAATATGTGTGTAAACAATTTAAAGTTATACTTGTTTCGCTTTTTATCTCACAAAAAATATCAAAATAACTGAAACAAATCCTTACAATTGACGATTCTGATAAATACATGTGAAATTTCAAATTTAATAATAATGTGCCAAAGTGGAACAAAATACACATGTACATATAAGGAAATTTAAACAACTGTTTACCGTTCTCTGAATGAACTATGAAATCCAGTAGAAAGCTGCGGATAATTTCTTTCTTGTTCTAGGAATACAGCCACTGCTGCCTTTGCAGGAGTCAATAACCCGTCAGAATTTGAACTAAATGAATTATGTTCACCACTCTTTGGCACTAATTGTGGAGAGCTTGTTTGCTTTGCAGATGAAGATATTAAATGCTCTTCTGTACAGTCATCAAGAACTTCTTCAGTAGAAACGGTCAAATTGGCTTGACGAACATCAACCTGATGAGCTTGACTATCGCTTAAGGTACGTGCATGAGCACCATTCCGCGATAGAACAGCTAATTTTGTATCGCGGTGGCTGCCATCGAGGGAGATATTCGAAAGAAATGTTAGCGCGGCCAACCTTCTGCGTGAATGATTCTTTTTTAAGGCTGCTGCCATTCCACGGTTGACCGTATCGATAGACCGGTGTTACCGAGTACCAACGTAAACAACCAGGAAAGAGACGGACACCCGACAAGGATTCTTTTGTCAAACGAGGACAACTACTAGGATCACAATTCATTATCACCGCTCGTACATTTAGTCCTGACATTTTCTATTGACGTGCTTACACAGCGCACGTAGATACGTGAACCGATGTCACTCATCATCGTACCAATTCCTCTCATAAGATTAAAAAAACAAATCCTGCTACCAGTGAAACAAATCTTCCTTCCTACTACGCAACACTATGACCCATCCCCTTGTCAGCCGAATAATACCCTCTACTTTCTTTTGCGACTGCGCATTTTGTCACGTATGTTAACGTCGAAATGTAGAGAAATCTAGAGAAATCTAGAGAATTTTTCTAGAAATCTTATTCTCTTCATTAACAAAAATCATCGTTCTTCTTTTTTCTTAAAAAGAAAATAAAATCGTTATCACACATTGCACAAATTTTATAAGATCTTTCTATCATATGTGTATTTGTGTGCGAAAAGTCTTTCGGGAGAAATACGGTTGGTTATTTCCGATAGATCCGATACATTTTTAAATATACAGATATCCATTAGCCGAAAGTATTATACAACAGGGCCAGCATGTCAATAAGTGAGAGAAGAGATTACTTCCTTCCATCCAGCCATCTCGTCAGCTTCTCATCTCTGACTCTACATCATTATATATATTTATATATATGTATATATATATATATATATATATGTATCATTGTATTGCGACATTGACAATGTTCTAAAATTAACTGTTCATCACTAATTTTATTTCCTCTTCCTTATGTTAAAAATGTATGATATTATTTTTTATTTATTTTATTATTTAAAACTATATGCAAAGATACATTGTCCATAAAAACGTGCTGATTTTAAATGGAGACATTAAAGTTTATTACACGTTTAATCAATATAAGAATTATGAAAATCATGAAGTATTGTAGATTATTAATCATGATTGTATTTTTATTTATATCTATTGCATTGGAAAAACAATTTATAATAGAATTATAAGCAAAAAGAAATCTATGATTCATTAAAACAGCAAATTTCATAACTAAATCTATATATTTCATAATCAATATTTAATATTAAATTTTTAGTGTTCTTATCCTTTTCCAATAATACTTCCAGCAGTCAGTAACTTTAAGTTTTAATTAAAAATATAGATTATAAATAATTATTTTTTATTTTCATGTAAAATTTTTCAAAAAGTTATATATGATTACTGATATAGTATTCTTAAAATGTAATGTTTTCACATTACCATTAAAATTTAAATAAACTAGATATTTTAAAAAATATATTTTTATCAGTATGTTATAGATAATTGACAAAGTTGAACATTTTTTTTCATTTCTTTTGTGAATTTTCTTTAATTAAGTTGAAAATATTTATAATCAAATATATAATAATCTATCATAAATACATAAATAATTTGTTACACCAAATTTCAAGATAGTCAAAGATTCATAAAGTAAAACATTTTTTTGTTATTATTAACAATATTTACTGCATGTTTTTAATTAAATGAAACAAGTAATAAATACATATTGCACTTCATAAACAAAAATTCACAAATTTAACAGTAAAATTGTTATTTATAAATAATCAATGTTACTTGTTATTTGTTAAAATTTATTGTGTATAAGTAAAATTTAAAATAGTATTTATTGTATTATTAATTAAAGATTTTAAACTTGTTAAATTGATTCAGAATTTAAGTAATATTTATATATTGTATCTATTATAAACCTATACATAAATAAATCTATATTAAATAACTGTACAATATACAAGTTAATGCATTGCAATATTGGAAACAAAAAACTAATCGATATAATGTTATGCAATGAAATATCACTAAATTATATATTTTATTATATCAAATGTATTGAACTAAAAGACTAGCAATGAGAAAACAAATATCATGTCACATTATTTATTTGAATTTTTGGAAATAATTTTAATATTTTATGAATTTTTGAACATTTATGTGTTGCATTACTGATTTAAAAACTTCAAAATTAAAATAAATATTTCATTATTGCAAAATTATTAATGCTTGTATAACTTACATCTTCAAATTTTTATATACTCAACTTTTTTACACCTGTAACAATTTATGACATAAGGTAGTTTAGATGCACTTTATGAAAACGTGTGAAATGATATGAAAAGTGACGTTTATCATTAGTAGTATCTTAAAATAGCTAATACAGAAACATTTTCCATTTATACAATTTCAATTATTCATATGATCCTAGAATTTTGTAAACAATGTGACAATTATTCAAATGATATTACAAACTAATTTCTACAAGCAACAATGTTCATACATTTCTCAATAATTATAAAGAAATTTATATTTAATTTATACAATTATAATAGAAAATTCCGTAAACTCTGAAATAATCTAAAAGGACATCGCAACGAGAATAACATCCAATCATTTTAAATATACAAAGCCATCCACACTGTATCGTCAAAATAAATAATTTCATCAGTTTTTTTCGATGATCGAACAGATGATTAACAATCATAGTATTTATTACTATGATTGTTTCTGCTAAATATAGATTTAATATCTATAACTAAATGTTCAGGCTAGAGCACAAAAATCCTAGAATAGTTATAGATGATGCCATCGGGTTGACATAGGACTACTTGAAGACTCAATAGCCCTTGATATGGATTCATATAGCCCATGCCCTAACCATATTTGATTCAATTGCCTGTATTTGTCATGACATAATCGTAATGGATTTCCTCTTCGTAAACCTTGATCTGTTTCTCCATATTCGTCTAGATAAGGTGGACAAGCAAAAGATCCTCGATTCGATATTCTTAAAAAAAGAATTTCACATTCTCGTATTCGTAAGAATAATCCTACTCCAGCTCCACATTTATTTGCGTGATATGTGCACGCACCAACCAGCGCATCATTCAGTTCAAATTGGCAACAATAACTTTGAGAACATAACATTTCACCACATACTAGGCACAGCGTCGGAGTTTTGGAATCTTCCCGGACGCTATTTGGACACGTAAACGACGATATCATATTTATCAATTCACTATAATCTTCTGGAAGCTCCACTAATTTATTAACTTTCAAAGGTTCTTTTATTGTGATTGTACTAGCACCAGATAGATGCATTTGAACAGTGGGATGACTTTTCCAAATATCTATTAATTTTATAATTATATCTAAATTTGGCTTTACTAATTCATCACATGTTGTTGGTAATCCCAAATATGCACAGATATTTTCGTATGTCGCTCCATCTATTTTAGTTAGTTCTTCTGGTGCTGGAACATCAGATATATAATGAAAATAGAGAGCACAACATCTCAGAAAAGGCAAAGTAGCTTTTGTGATTCGTCTCCATATATTAGCAGCAGTTTGTGTGCCAATATTAATGTTTAAAACTTGAACCAATGTTAAGATAGATTCTGAAAATGTATCTTCTGTTGTCTCCGGATTATCTACATCCATTTCTTCATTAAAATCTGATGTCAATAGTATTTTTACTACTAGAGCTATAAATATAAGTTGCAAGGCATAAAATTCAAATATTCCGCCTGTAATGATTGATGGTACAGTCTTAAAATTTGTACAAAAGAGACTAGGAAATGAATTAATTAAAGGAATAAGCAATCCAAATGGATCCCAATCTAGAATACTTGGCCCTTCATGTGGATTTTTTAACAATAATGTTAAAAGAGAGAGTGCATTATTTTGAATAATATCTCTATCTGTCCATGTCACTTTTATACGAGAACGTAGTTGACATTTAGATCCTAAAACCGCTGAAATCCTTGCAAGTCCTTCTAAACTATCTCTTTGTCTGGATGACAAAGCACCTAATAAAGGTTTATCCATATCACGTAAAAGAAATTCTATAGCATGAATACTATATGCTGTTGATTTCCATGCCAATAGTGGCACTCTATCATCATCTTCATCAGGTTCAGTGCCAAATTCTTTTGTGTATGTTGCTTGTGCAAAAAGTTGAATTGTAGATATTAAATTTTCTGAAATGGATGGACCAAGTTGGCTATAATTTGACTCAAATATATTTGCAACATTTCCAAGTTCATTACGAATAGCTTGTATATGACATGGATGTGGCATTATGCAATACCGACATGTCGGATCATGTTCATCTTTAATAGATTTTGTTTCATGTAAATTTCCACTTAATCCACATCTAACTTGCATTGTAATTCTTAAAGCCTCCAACCATGTACCAAAATCAAGTTCAGGTTGATTCTGAGGAGTTGGTTGCAATGTTTTCAGAGGTGGTAAAAGAGGTAAGACAGTATTACTGAGACATTCACAAAGTGGGCAAAGATATTCATGTTTTTCCACATCAAAACTTGCCGGTTGTCGTAAACGGAATGGTCTTCTATTCTCTTTTGCAAGAACGTTGTTAAAATATTCTTGCCAACAATGAACATGCATTACATGACCACAAGTTCCAGTGTGCGGTGATGCACCAAGCTTTGCTGAAAGATATAATGGATCAGGTTCATCAGTATTAGCCCTGTATTGACAAAGAACTGTGGATTGTTGAACAAATGCAGCTAACACCATTGCTGGACCAGCTGCTGTTACAATTTGATCTTCCTGGCACAAAATACAAGTTTTATAAGTTTCTTCACCAGATATTCTGGATGTTTGTCCAATACCAACAGCAACAGGCATTTTTTGAGGACATTTTTTTGAATTCATACTAGAGTCTTGGTCATTAGATTTATTTATATCTAAAGCAGCTTCTTCAAATAATTCAGCATTCTTTTTCATAAAATGTTTTTGCATAGCAGCCATTTGTGCCATTATTCTTGCACGTTTTTCTGCTGCCATTTTTGTCCTCCATTCTTTATCAGTTTCAACATTTTCAGTTGCTACATTCTCTGTACGTGGTGCAGTAGGTGTACTAACTTCCATCGGGGTATTACCAGCAACTTCTCTGTATTTTGTTAAAGTCCATGTTAATAAATCTTTATGTGCTTCTATACGTGGGCTACTAGATAAATCTTCTAATAACTTATAAATTTTCCATTTTGCAGCTCTTGTTGTAAAAGCAAAAAAGGGATAATAACCAGATTCTTGTTCTTGGAGGGCATATCCAATAAGGTGTAAAATTTTATGTACTTGTGATTCTGAAAATCTGCGAGGTCTACAATTAAGTGCTCTTTCCAGTACAATTTGCATAATATGTAACATAACATCACATTGCAATAAATTAGTTACCAAACTAAATACTTCTGTTAATTTAGGAAGTTTAGGAGGTGGACAACATTCTAATTCACCTAGAGCTTTTCTTCGTTTTCGTTGTGTTTCTTCAGAATTACTTACTTCCTCTTTTGTATAATGATAAAAGAATACATTATATTCCGAATATAAATGAGGTTTTAATTCATATACTCCTTTCCCTCCTGATACTTGTGAAGGCTTTTTAAAATTTGCAATATCTTGTATTACTCTTTCCATTTCAGTTTCCAAATATGTATCTTCTGATAATGTTTTACTGAGCTCTGAATGAGAAAGAGATTTGATACATAATTGTTGAATAATTTCTTTTTTCAGGATATCATCAGGAGTAACTTGTCCAACTCCAAGTATATATCTTTCTCCTATTATTGTTATAAGTAATCCTAGAAATTCTTCAACTAAAGTCTGTCTGATACTCTCATCTTCAAGATATTTGATAGCATTCACATCAAAATCCGAACTTGCCCATTGTAGAAGATTAAATTTATTTAAAACATGGATTAAAAATTCGTTACTTTCTATTAAAGATGCTCCAGCTTGAAGCAAAATAATATCTCTGTCTAACATTTCCGAACGGCATTTAACATTGTGATAAAAATATAACTGATTTAACAAAGAATATCCATTTCTTTTCCACATACCACTATGTACTTGTGCGATCATTACTTGAGTTGCTAATACTGGTTCTATGATCTGTTCTAATGTTGGCTTTGTATGATTGATAAATTCTGCACATTGGAAATGTAAATCATGCATTTCAAGATATGGAAAAAGACCTGCTAAAAATCTGGAAAGTGGAAGATGTATAGATACTGGTTCAGATGATACATCATATTGAAGACATGTTGCACTATGATCTGCTAATTCTCTCACTTGAGGTGGACCAATCTCATGTCCTGGCTGTTCATATAATTTTCTTAAAACTAACCGAAAAGCTTTTATTAAAACTATTTGATCTGAACCACACCATTGTAATGCAAGACTAATAACTGGAGATAGTCTAATATGTAAATTAAAAGCAGATTCCCATTCAGGTTCATATTCCATATGTTGGCCAACTTGTCTTACTACAGAATCCATGCATTGCATACTACTAAGTAATGTGAGCAAAAGTGAAAGTCCTTGTAAAAAACTTTTTCTTAATTCGTCAGTCCAAACAGTTGGTTTGGAGCTTAGTAAATATCGTAAATCTTGGAGCATATATAGAGCTCTTTTAAATGAAGTATTAGGAGTATCTCTTTCAAATTCCAATTTTCCTGCTGCATTACATCTTCGTGTACTTTCCGAAATAAATGTGTTTAATAAAATGAACAATACATCATGATGTGCAATAAGATGATGTGCTAATGTTGGAACAGTAAATAATTGCACAGAAAATGAAACAATAGAAAATGAATGATCATGATCATCTCTTATATAATCTTTCATAATAGAACCATAATTATATGTAAAAACATTTGCTAAAGCTCTTTTACTTTCATATTCCATGAGCATTCCAGACATTAATAATCTGTGCCATGCTGTTCTAGCAGATTTCCACAACTGTGAATCTTTCATAAGTATACCTTCTACAATGGAAATAACTGGCAATTTTGTATTGAGTGAAACATTACTGAAAAGTACCCTGAAACCTTCACAGGGATTTATAAATTGTTGTAACCAATGTAAAAGTTTCATGGCAAATATCTGATGAGCAATTACATGAGAATGAACTACAAGTACTTTTAGTGCTCGAAATTTTTCGATATCATTCTGTAATTCTTTACATTGTTGAAAGTCAGCGCATCTTACAACAGCTCTGCCATCTCTATCAACATTTGTTACAAACTCTAATGCATCTCTTTGTGAGCAATTCATAACACGCATAAGTGTATTAATTACTTGATCAAATGTATGGGTCTCATCATTAAAAAGAACTGTACAATAATTTTCTGTAGCTAGTGACAAAGGATCATCATCCTCTGTATTATTCAAGCACAAATCAGGAGGTAACCCAAGTGTATGTTCTAAAGATAACATTGTATGACAATATCTTAATACCGCCTCAAAAGTTATTACTGCTCTTTCTGCTATATCTCCAGGTAATTTATTTCCATGAGATTCTTTAGCTTGTATTCCAGCTAAATGCGTATTACAAAATGGTTCTCTTTTCCAAGCTTCTATATCTCCACAATCACAAAATCCTCCACCACTAGAGGTGCCCATTCTATACTTATGATTACGATGAGCTGACTGCTTAAAACAATCTGCACACAAGACACATGTTGAATCCACACCACATTCTCTGCAACTATATGTAGCCTCGCCCATTTTGAACACTTTACCACATATCACATTATCCATTTGACTTAGTTCTTTTAGTACAACCTTTGGATCTCCATTACAAATAAATTCTTCTAAAGTATTAAAAAGCACTTTTTGTGCTGTTTCCTCATCAAAAACCCAATCTAAACAATTGCTATTTGGTTCTGGACTATATATCTTTGGAACCCAGACTTTCCAATGTTCATTGAAATGGCTGCATGATAGTATTCCTTTGTTCATTTTTTCCATCCATACATTTATACAATTTTGGAAAGCAGGCAAAGATGATGGTGACTCCATATCTTCAGGCTTATGATACAGATGTTTTTGCAAATTCTCATTACTCATTATTGTAATTTAAATTGCCAAAATAATGTGTACTGAAATGATAAATATTATAAATTAAAGTTTGTATAATAAATCTTAATATAAAAAATTCTTATAGTCTATAGATGACTAACTAATGTTACAAAATTAATACAATAGATAATTGATAAAAATGAAACTTTATTAATCTTTTAATCAATAAATCTTTACACAATATCAATTATTTAATATACATTAGTATTTTATGTATTTTATTGTAGCAGAAATGCAAATAATTTAATATACTTTAATATACTTCTACAGTTAATATAATTTTATAATTAGATATTTATACTATCTTGTAAATTATATATATATATACATACACATGCGTACACATACATATGTATATGTATGTATGTGTATATATATATACATATATATATATATTTCTTTGTATAAAATTATAAATATGTTATATACATACGTGTGTGTGTGTGTGTGTGTATTTTTATATAATTTTATTTTAAAAACACAAATTTGATAAATATTGCTATATTAACTATAGTAATATACAGAATCAGCAGAGTTGTTGATATAATGTAATAAAGTAGATGTATTATATAGCATTCTGTACTTGTATCTTATTCACCCGATTTATCAACATAATCATTTGTTTTATTAATTAATGTACCTAATTCCATACAAATTATACGATTTTACATAATTTCAATACTTCACATAAATTTCTACTCAATCATAACTTGAAAGTGATAGGTTACTAACGATTTTTATCCAAAGAAATTTCCATACAATATGATGCTACATTTTATTTTAGTTACAAAATATGAATAACTGCGGTTAATCTTAACTGCTTATTCGTCAAAGGATATATCTAAATAATTCGAGAAATCGAAAGCTCGTTAGTTTCGTAATAGATAAAAATTAAACACTATGTTACGAAATTTTATATACTACGCAGACAAACGTCATTCCAGTTTAAAAGGCGATTTTGTAGATGTAGTAAAATTTTTCGTTAAATCGAACTATTTTTAACTTTCTCTGAGGATGATACTTACTGTTATGATGACCAGGCCAAGGTTAATAAAAGATATTGGAAAGTTCTTTGTTACACAAAATCTGTATATGATCTTCCAGCTACGTGGGTGATAATGCTTGACAGCAGTCGTTTTACGGTAATCGCATGTTCACGTCAAAGACGCGGATATTCAATAATATTAATCAACCAAGTTTTGACATTTCAAAATGAAATGATAAGCAATACTTTACACAGTTAAGTTGAACAATGCACAAAATGGCTTATGAAGTTTAGAGACTGAAATCATACAAATGATAGATGAGCTTGTGTTTTAATATTTGTTCTTGACAACAGCGCCAATGATTAACCACGAATATTAATTCAATTTTGAAATGTGAAATAAAACGCTGTAACATAAATATGAAACATAAATATTTGTTTTAAATATTTATAACATAATAATATATCAATGTGATACAATAGAACTACTAATCAAAACTATTATAAACACATTATGTTCATAGTATATTACTGATGTTTATATGCAATAATTTATTACAAAATTGTATATATAAAATTCAACATATTTTAAATATATAAACTTTTGAATGTTTCAAATTAACTGATTAATATTTTCTTATATTTATTCTTTTTACAATTTAGTAATATAAATTTAATTAGTTGGTAACAATGAATCATTAATAGGAAGTTTGTTCATATAAAACCAGACAGTCCGTGTTCTTTTCAGTTCATAACGTTGTTAAAGAAACACGTGGTGAAGAGTGTGATTATTGAATTTAAAACGAAATACGAACACTGTCACGTAAGTAAGGACATCAAGTAAAATATTAAGTTACATACATTATGAATATAATAAAAGAAATTATTTGTTTCTACTTAACTTCTTTATATTGTACGTAACAAAGTAGTATATTTTTGCAGCATCTATACGCATACTAATAATATTCAATTTATAATCATTTAAATGGATATAGGCAATAAAGAAAATAGTATTATCTAACATCAATTCTTTACTCTTTCACTTGCAATGTAAAAGTTGTATAAAGAATCACCAAAATCAAATTAAAATTATATGTCAGATGAACGTTGTTAGATAATTCTAGAATATGTATACTATGTATATCGTAACATCTAAATATCAAGTAAAATTTTATGAAGTATATGATACATTATATCTTTTTTAAAGTTAAATTAATTTTTTATTTAAAAGTTAAAGATGTAAATTACAAATTGAAATAAAGTTATTTATTATATTGGATCATGTTGTGAAAGTATTCTAAACATTTCATTTGACATTATGAATTAGGAAAATATTTTAAAATTTACATTCTATAGTTTTTCAATTTAAATTTTAATTTAATTCTTTTGCAGAATGCCCCTTGCTAAAGATTTTCTTCATCCAAGTCCAGCTGAAGAGAAAAGGAAACATAAGCTAAAAAGGCTTGTACAAAAGCCAAATAGCTACTTTATGGATGTGAAGTGCCCTGGATGTTATGCCATTAAAACCATCTTTTCACATGCACAAAGATCAGTGGAATGTGATGGATGTCGTACAATATTATGCACATCTACAGGTGGCAAAGCACGATTGACAGAGGGTTGCTCATTTAGGAGAAAGGTTCAATGTTAATGTAACACTGATTAAGGCAACATAATGTATACATTTCTCTTTATGTTCAATAAATAAACAAAATTATTGTATGATTTTATTTATTTATTATATTAGCCTATCTTATATTCATTTCTAGTAAAAACTGTTTTATAATAATTTTATATTTTAATAATTCCGAAATTGATATAGTACTAAATGATTATGTATATTATATGTTGTTTTATTGTGTGAAAAATTTAATAAATATACATATGGGTAATTAACACAATCTGTTTTTATTTCGAGTTACATCCATTTTATGATAAATTTAACAGTATATTAAATTTGTTATTTACGATAAAATACAAACAAATATTTTTCATAACTTCCAGCTGGGTAAGTTATATGCAATAATAAAAATGATTTATATAAACAAATTGTTGATTTATGGCGCGAAATATAATTAATATAATTTAATCTTTATTACTTAAGAATGTAGAATTGCATTATACGCTTGGAATATGCCTGGTGCTACTTCTACAGAGCGAGATTTCAAAGATAACTGTAATTAAAATATATTGATTACAAAACGTTTTAAAAGATAAAAACTACAAAAATTTAATTTAAATTTTAACTTACTGTAACATCAGGATTTCCTGGTTGAATTTTTAATTCATTTAATACCCAAACAGTATTTGTTAGTTTAAGAGATTGATATAACATATCTTGTCCTTCAACATTTCTTTTAGCAATTGTAAATACGTTGTTCTGTTGCATTTTTTGTACAACTTGATCTGCCGTCAACATTATTCCTTTTAATGTATATTGTACCTAAAATATTATTAATATTTAAATGTATTCACTTCTTTAACATATGCTAATAAATCTAATAACAATATAGATACTGAATTAATGAATACCTCATTCTGAGCTGGTATATCTTTCCATGTACTAAGAAATACTCTTTTATCTAATTGTCCATCTTCTGCAAAATATACGTTCATGGGAACAATACAAGCAAAATAGAATACATCAATATTATTTTTTATTGCGACTTGAAGATTATTCAAGGGTTCCATTCGTTGCACTGCACCAGCAGTAGACAATATTATACTAGTATCTATACTGGCACCAGGATTTAAAGGACTTGGTACTTGCAATGGAGCAGCTGGTGTTAAGCCGAAACTGTTTTTGTTTAATTGTATTGCAAAACCACCCATAGGTTGCATTGCTTTGTTTGTAAATGTCATATCCATACTAATTTGTCCATTTCTATTATAAAATAAATAAAATTATATTTATTACATTATGTTTGTATATTATTGTAATATAAATGACTTACTTCCTTGAGAATGTTCCCCATATGTCAAATCCTTTACCTTTCTCAGCAGGTAACCAATTAACTTTAGGTGCAATATAAGAAGTAGGACCTTGATTAAAACCAAATATGTCACCAAGAAGCCCAGTAGTACTCTGAGATACAACAGGTGCACTACTTCCAGTATCAGTCCCACCCAAAATTCCATCTAAACCACCTCCTAATAAATCTAGACCTAATCCTGATTGAGGAGCTGGTGTTGGAGTAACCATAGTTGGACCACCTATAACAATTCAATATGTAACATATTGTAAAGTACTAATAACTATAAAAAATACTATATACAAAGGTTTTATTTACCAATATCCATACTGAGAAGATCGCCTATCAAAGAATCTTGAGCAGGAATAACTTGAGCATGAGGTTGTGCAGTATGTTGGGTTGAATCTTCACTTGAATTACTTCTAGCAGGTAATGATTTCCTAGCACCTGCTGCTCTACCTTCAACGAAAGCAGTAGGTGGTTTATGATATACAGAAGCTAAACTTGAAATATGACATATTAATTCATCTAGTAGTGTTGGTTCTAACAAGTCTGTTTCTTCTGAAATAAGAGGTTTCTCAGCAAGTACGACTTCTTTGGCAGCTGCTGGATCTGTACTAAGTAATCGCCAATAAATAAATCCTCGATCTCGTAAATCGGGATTATCAGAATCTTGGGTCGCTAAACTAAGAACTTGTTGAACCAGTTCTTGAGTATCTGTAGGTCTTTTAAGAAACAATTTAACAATTGCTGTGAGTAGCTGCAACTGAACTTGTGTATTTTCATCATGAAATCCTTCTAAGAAGCTTTCAAGTAATTCGTCTGCATTATCAATACGTTCTGCATATTCCCCAATAATCCATATCATAGATGCGCGTGCCTCAGGTTCATCAAGTGTATCCAAATTTTCACAAAGAGTTGAAATAATACTTTCGTACTTATTTGGATATTTTCGGAAGATGTCTTTTATAACAACAATTGCTTCTTGAACAACATAATTGACCTAATATAATAAAAATATATATAAGATT